TCATGATTACATTCTCCCACCTGCAACTCTTTTTGCATGTTTTCCTCTTCCTGAGTCAGCAAGAAGCCTTCAGCCAGGGACACCGCCTGGGAACTGGTCTCTGCTCCACACTCCCGCACCCAATTTGCCATCTCTGGGGGAAGCACGGCCAGGAATTGTTCCAGGAGCACCAGGTCAAGCATCTGAGCCTTTGTGTGTTTTTCTGGTTGCAGCCACTGACAACAAAGATAGTGAAGCTGAGTGCAAACATCTCGGGGACTGCTCCCCTCTGCACTGATGTATGCCTCTTCGGGGATCTTCTGCCCGGGATTCATTGTCCCCCGGGATTCATTCCTCCCACAGCTCCAAGGCTGAGCAGATGGAGGGGCTTTTCTAATTTCGGCATCTGCTGGGTGTTGTCCCTCCATCTTCTCTCTGGTCTTTAATACAGCTCCAAAATAGACCCTTGGATCTCTACTGGTCTTTCTGTTCACAAGAGATCTGGCCAAGCTTTCCAAGGTCACTCAGCTCCCTTCCCAGACAAGATAATTAAGATTCCAGAAGAACCAGTATTTCCAGCTAACATACCTGAAATTGAAAACAAATAATTTAGGGTGTTTGCTAATGTGATTAATTGAACTACTCAGCATCCTTATCAAGAGAGGGAAGGGAAGGGAGAAGGAAGGAGGGGGAAAAAAGAGCGATTTGAATGAACCTACCTCTACATATGGGGAAAATTGCAGAGATTGATTATTAAATTTTAGTTTTTATTTTTGTGTCTTATTATTACTATAAATTAATCTAGGCAGCAATTATACATAATGGTCCTTCTTACTATTTCCCACCAAAATCCCTATGAAGAGGATTGGGCTGAGAGTTGGGATGGTCTCAAGGCTTTCATGCCAAAGGGTGGACTAGATGTTAATTTCTTGGTTTCAAGCCTACTGCTTTCACCACTGAACCAAATGGCAAACTATAATTTTATTTAATATAATTTAATAGACAGTTTAATATCATTTCTATGACTGCATAGTTAAGAACGATTGGCACAGTCCAATTCATAAATGTCCCAGGTCACAAACAGCAACTGGCATGGAGGACTCTTAAAATCCACTTAATAACCAAATAAATAAACAAGGGATTGGAACACCCAGGCTTTACAAAGGCCAAGCTTAACAAAACAAAAACAACTGGCCTAATCGGGGACATAGTAACAATGAGACACCTCCCTCCCCTCCTCTGATACCTTCCTTATTTATCTGCAGACACAGCCAGCTAGCGATAGTGGGGAAAGGCGGGGAAAGGCGGGAAAGCAGGAAACCGAGTTCCAGTCCTTGCACACCTTGCACACCTTGCATCTCCTTGCACACGGCAGTTAGTTGCAGCCTTTGTACTCTCGCTTCTCTGGGCCTAAGAAGGGGGAGGCGAGGGGAACCCCTTCTGAAAACGGGGCCAATAAATATGCAGGAAACTGTGCAGAAGTCAAG